AGGGAAGTGATCTCTCACCTCCCAGCTGCAAGAAGAACAGAGGGGGAAAACCTTGTCCAGAGAGGAGTCAGAGTAGGCCCTGAGCTCAGAACGGAGAAAGGGGCCCGTGAGTCTATGGAAGAAAGACAGGACCCACATTGCAGCACAGTGGGAAAGGTGGCGTGTGGTCCCAGCCTTGCCCTCTGCCTGCTAGGCCAGAAACTTCCATTCCATCCTAACGACAAGCACAGGCCACTGGGTTTGGGGCACATATGTGGCCAACCAAGGTCATGTTTTTCCTTCCAGTGGGTTAGCCACAAAATGCTGTGTTTCCTTGGAGCAGGCATTCACCTCTGGGAACCCATTTTCCACACTTGTAATGGAGGGGCTTGGATGCTTTGCAATGATCTTCTCAGCTTTACAAGTTCCTGTCTCTGCATGTGCCTTCCTTATATCTTCACCCCCGGTCTGGCCTCTCTTTATGTTAGCAGCAGCCAAGATGCCCCTCCTCCCAGCCTCTCCAACTCTGGCCTCACAACGGCGTCTTCACGGACTCGTGTGTCAGCAGCAGCCCTGGCCAAGACATTTCATCCCATAAGGAGCACCGTGCAGATTGGAGGAAGAAACAGAGATTAGAAACCATGGGGCTTGCACATTCCGATGGTTCTTAACTTGATTTAAACTTTTGACCTGTAATCCTTTCCAGCTGTTTTGAAGTCACACATCCCGTCTTGATTAGCCTCACCCTTAAAAGGGGTCTAAACAGAAGGGGCTGCATCGGAGAACTGTCTCCCGCCTGCCTCTGCAGTGCCCCTGGCCGAGGGTGGTCACCCTCCCTCCACCTCCAAACCCAGTGCTCCATGCTATAGCCCTGCAGGAGGGGCTTGCACACGTGTATGCTCTCTCTCACTCTCTACAGACATCAGCCTCCTTTGACAGTCTGTTTTCACAACGTGGGGGAAGCGCTAGTGTTCCTGCTCCCCTCAAAATAACATAGCCCAGGTGGTGGGAGTTAACTGGGAAGGCAGCGGGCTCTGATTCCAAAGTACACATCAAAATAAATGAAAACCAACTGGACTTGAGTTGGGCAGAGGCAAAGGGAGAAAACTCAGCCTGGGCTTTTTTTTTTTCCATTTTTAGATAAAATGCTAATCATAGGGATAAACTCAGAAGGCATGTGCTTTCTTAAGATGAATTTCTTGACATGGTAGCAAATGAACGGGGCCCGAGAAACAGGTCTGCATACTGCTGGGAGATGAGTCCACATGCTGGCCAAGAGCCAGAACCTCTCTAGCCATCCCTGGGGCTGGGTGCAGGTGCCATTGGACTCGTGCGTCGGGAGGAGGAGAGAGCCCCCAGGTGTCCCTGACTCACCACTGAAATGGCATTGGCAGGCCTAGCGTGTGTGTGTGTGTGTGTGTGCGCCGTCATTCCTTTTTTTGTCATCATGACCTCTGGGACTTCCTAACTCAGCCAGTGCTGTCCTAGGTGTTCATTCATAAGCCTGAAGAACAGGATTCACCAGCCTCAGAAGTGCTGGCGTCAGTCCCTGGTTCTCCAGGGATCTCTGGCAAGGAGCGTTGGCAGTACCTGAGGCTCTGGGTATGAGGTGCTAACCACCCTGCGAGAAGCCAACACGTGCATAGCATTTCGCACATCACCAGTCACCCCTCCATCCCATCCTCTGTGTTCTTGTGATGGGCAGAGGGATATTTCCCCCTTTGGATGTGGCCCATCCTGTTGGCCTGTTCATATGTACCAATGCATGCAAATTAATTCTGTATGTAATTTTAAAACTCTATTTATTTGAGAGGCAGAGCCATAGAGAAAGATAGATGTGTAGCAAGTGTGTTCCCATCTGCTGGTTCACTTCCCAAAGGCTTGAGGGGCTGGGGACTCCCTCCAAGTCTCCCATGTGGGTGGCAGAGACCAGTGACTTGAGCCGTCACTGCTGCCTCCCACAGTGCATTAGCAAGAACCTGGAATCGGGAGCTGGAGCCAAAAGCCAGCCCCAGGTACTCCTGTGTGGGATGTGAGTGTCCTAACCAGGACCTTACCAGCCAGGCCAAAAGCCTGCCCCAATTCTGTGGGCAATTTTGATAGAAAACTTGATGAGTTGGCCAGAGAGACTTTAGTAGAAAAACTAAATTGAGCCTGGCGCCACGGCTCAATAGGCTAATCCTCCGCCTGTGGCGTCGGCACACGGGGTTCTAGTCCCGGTCGGGGCACCGGATTCTGTCCCAGTTGCCCCTCTTCCAGGCCAGCTCTCTGCTGTGGCCCGGGAGTGCAGTGGAGGATGGCCCAAGTGCTTGGGCCCTGCACCCCATGGGAGACCAGGAGAAGCAACTGGCTCCTGCCATCAGATCAGCGCGGTGCGCAGGCCGTGGCGGCCATTGGAGGGTGAACCAACGGCAAAAGGAAGACCTTTCTCCTTGTCTCTCTCTCACTGTCCACTGCCTGTCCAAAAAAAAAAAAAAAAAAAAAGAAAGAAAGAAAAACTAAGGAGAAAATGACTGTTTTGATTATTTCATCCACTTCTGGCCCAGAGCATTGGATAGGGATGACATTTCAGTTTGCTAGCTTATTTCTTTATTTTTATCCTTTTTTTAAAAAAATTGTCAGGACATGTAGAAGGAGGATTCTAGAACCATCTTGGAACGTGCGTGAACTGGAGGAAACGATGTCGTGATTGGTTCACTAGATGACATGGCCCAGACCAGCTGCATTGCGTGGATTTAGCCGGGCTAAGCAGGACCTCCGGGGCTTGTGTCTGACAGCAATGTCTCTGAATTCATTGAGGACAAACAGCAGCCCTCTAAGAGCATGGGAAGAGGGGCCTCCTTGGAAGCAGGAGTTACTGCTGGAGGTGAAGTGTCTGCCTGTGGGTTGGGAAGAGTCACCGAGGGAGCTAGACGGTGTCTCGTAGATCATCTTGTTCACCTCCTGCTTTGTAAGCTTGTCTGAAGCAGTAAAATACTTTGCTCAGCAAAACGTTATGCAGAGCCAACTATGCAACACGGGCAACAGTGCAACTGGTGCGGTGGCTTGCTGGAGCCCTTGGGAGCTGAGAAACATCAATCTCCCCCCCCTTCCTTTTCCCTCCCTCTCTCTCTGTCTTGCTTATATCTTTCATTCTTCTCTTCCTTCCCTCCCTTCTATCATTTCCCTCTTATTTTCATTTCCTTTTCAGAGTTGGGAACTGAGGACGAGAGAGACAAGCTGTCTACGGAGGACTTGGACTTGGCCCGGGAGCTGCCCACTGCACTCTTTATGTGAAACCACTACTGTGTTTCTTTAAACCTCCAAAGTTCCCATTAAAGGGATCTCCAAAATAAATTGTTTTAAGCTTCCTGTGGCCACACTGCTGGGGGAAGGATACACACATTTGCCAAAGTCACTGAATATTTCTGCTTCAGCCTGTTGACACTAATCATAAATTCGAAGCGAGACACCAGTGACAATGACGAGTGTGTGAACCTGGGGCCAGACACTGGACAAACACTTTCAGACATTATTTTATGTTTCTTCTCAAGAACCCTGTGAGGTGGGTGTTTCTATCTCTTCTTTATGGATGAGGAAAACTAGATGCAGAAGTTAAACTTTTAGCACAAACTAATATATTAGGGTGTAGTTAATAAAGGTCTTACAACAAAGACTGTAAAATACAATGTCCACCAGAAGCGTGTGGCTTCCATCCGTCCATGCTGGCTTCTTCTCTCTATCCAACATGGTTTGTCTAATTCAGATAATTTCCCAATAAGCAGAGATGCCAGAGAACCAGTATATGATGGGGCTAAGACTTAACGCCAAGACTTACACAAATTTTTTTTAAAGGTTTATTTATTTGAAGTAAGAGAGAGAGGGAGAGAAAGAGAGAGAGAGAGAGATCTTCCATCTTCAAGGACTTGGGCCAGCTTCCACTGCTTTCCAAAGTCATCCGTGGGGAGCTCAGTTGGAACTGGAGCAGCTGGGATTTGAACCAGTGCCCATATATGATGCTGGCGCCGCAGATGGCGACGTAATCCGCTGTGCCACAGGGCCTGTCCCATACTTACACAATTCTAAAGTGTGATGTTAACTAGCCACTGGACTAAACTGCCCCATTACTTCCACTCCCAGTTGCTACAGATAAAATACAACAGTAATAAATGGCCCAGTTGTTATTGTGGCAGCTGGCTTCCAAAAACGCCCTGACAGTTCTTTTTTTTTTTTTTTTTTAGAGATTTATTTATTTATTTGAAAGAGTTACACACAGAGAGAAGGAGAGGCAGAGAGAAAGAGAGGTTTTCTATCCGCTGGTTCACTCCCCAATTGGCCACAACGGCTGGAGCTGTGCCGATCCAAAGCCAAGAGCCAGGAGCTTCCTCTGGGTCTCCCATGTGGGTGTAGGGGCCCAAGGACTTGGGCCATCTTCTACTGCCTTCCCAGGCCATAGCAGAGAGTTGGATCGGAAGTGGAGCAGCCGGGACTCGAATCAGCGCCCATGTGGGATAGCAGCACTGCAGGCGGCGGCTTTACACACTGGGCCATAGCACTGGTCAGAAAATTCTTAGCTCCCGTTTTTCTACCCTTGCTCGGCTGCCTGCTGCACTGAATAGGGCTGAGCCTTGTAGTCAAGTAGTATATTGTGGCTATGATAGGAAATGCCTTTGGGGGAGGCTAAGTCACAAAAGGCGCGCCTTTCCTGCTTAGCTGTGCCTCGGATCATTTGCTCGGGGGGAGCCAGCTGCCACGTTGTAAGGATACCCACGCTGCTCTTTGCGGAGTTGTAGCTGCTGTGGAGTTGGGATCTCTCACCCCGACCCCGTCCTGACTTGGAGCCGTGTGAGTGAGCAGATCTTTCAGCCCCGGTCAAGCCTTGCAGAACTCTAGTTCAGGCCAAATCTTGACTGTAACTTCACGAAAGTCCCTAAACCAGAACAAAATGCTGCTTGTTTTTATTTTCTGCCGCTGAATTCCAGGGTAGTGTGTAATGTAGCCATGGGTAACTAAAATGTTGGCGTGTGTTTTGGAAAAACCAGGTGCACAAGGCCCAGCTGCCGGAGGCTGAAGGTACCGAGAAAGTGCGGAAGGAGGTGAGTGACCCCGGGACCGCGCAGGGTCTCAGTGATTTGGATGCAAGATCAGAAGCATGTTTGGGGTTGCAGCAGTGAGAGGGTCCCCTTGTCCCACATCAGTAGGGAGGTGCCTATGTGCTGAGCTAGGAAAAGGGCACCACTGGCCAGCTAGAAGGTACCTGGACTTTCTCAAGACATATGAACATGCCAAGAATCGATTCAGACATCCCCAGCTTCAGTGCCTGGTAGAAAACGTTAATGAATTTGTTTGTCTCATTGGTTTTGGGACAAGTGCCGGGTCACCTAGAGGGCAGCATGGTGGTTACAACCAAGGTGTTTAGAGCCTAACAGTGTGGATGCTGGATACACAAGATGCATTGTTTGGGGGCAGACGGTTGGCCCAGTGGTGAGGATACTCATCTGTGATATCAGAGCCTGCATTCAGACCTCAGCTCTGCTCCTCATTCCAGCTTCCTGCCAATGCACACCCTGCGAGGCAGCCGTGATGGCTCACGTAGTTGGGTCCCTGCCAGATTGAGTTTGAGGCTCCTGCCTCTGGCTCCTGCCTCCAGCCTGTGCTGCCGCAGGCATTTAGGGATGAATCAGAAGATGGGATTTCTCTCCTCTCTCTCAAAATCAATAAACAATGTTTACATAAAAGCTTGCATGAGACAGAGGAGGAGGGGGCATCCTCTGGTTCATTCCCCAATACCCACATATGTCTGGGGTTAGAACAAGCCAAAGCCTGGGGCTGAGTACATACAGGAGGCAGGAATGCAGTGACCTCAGCCATCACTGCTGCCTCTCAGCAAGCTAGAGTCAGGAGCCAGGCTTGGGACTCAAACCAGGCACTCTGAGGTGGGACGCACATGTCTTAACCGCTAGACAATCACCCACCTCCTAGATGCATTTTTCATAGATCTGACTCAAGCCACCTCCTCAGAAAAGTCTTAATGGATGCCAGCGGGGAGAAGTTATTCCTTCTTCCTCTATGGCTGTTTATTCTGCCATATGTCATTTAAAACTCAAACGTGGATTTTACAAGTTTTCTTCTCCAGACTGTACGATGCTCCATAAGAACGTGTTGGGTTTGGATTCAACTCTTCCATGCCTAACAGTGCTAAATGAAATTTGTGTGTAAGTGAGTAGCAGACATTCCACCCATTCTTCCAATGATTGGCTTTATAATTTTATATGATTTCTTTTCTTTACATGTGGGCTCTAGGGGCCTGCATCTTGATGCGTGAGGTTAAGCCTCTGCTTGTGATGCCAGCGTCCCATAGTGGAGCCCCAGTGCAAGTCCCAGCTACTTCCCTTCTGACCCAGCTTCCTGCCAACGTAGGAAGAAGATGGCTCAAGCACTTGGGCCCCTGCCACCCACGTGCGGGACCAGGACAGAGTCCCTGCTCCTGGCTTTGGATTGGCTCAGACTTACATGTTGCACCAGTTTGGGGAATGAACCAATGATGGAAGATCTCCCCCACCCCTCTTTTTGTGACTCTGCTTTCCAATAACTAACGAAATAAATATTCTAAAAAAAAATACATGTAGACTCTAAAAACCTTGTGTCGCCTTCTACATGGAGCCTTCCGGTCCACTTCTTTGTTTAAGTTAACAGACTTATAAAAATACTCTGTATAAAAAAGAGAAATCTATTAAGGACCAGAGATCATGCTGTTTTAGGAGCTTTTACAAGCAGTTGGCGCCTCCTTTTTCTTGAAAATCAGGCCTGAAATCTCACCACAACAAATATCCCCTGGAGACCTGCAGAGCTGAGAAAAAAAAATTGTTTTTTTTTGGAGTTGTCTCTTCTCTCGTCCCATTTAGAAGAGCAGAGAAGACCTGCACGAACCTTCCATTCCCAGGTCTCTTGCTCCGTGGCCCAGGTTTCCCCTCTTTCTAATGAGCAAACTGTGTTTCTGAAAGCAGCTCATCGCTGAACAGGAATCCAGCCCCTTGCAAATGTGCGCAGAGTGCATCTCATCTAAATTTCCTTCCGCTGCACTCAATTTAGAACCACTTCAGAGGGGAACTGGAAGGCATTCTGCATCCTTTTAAAAACCTACATATTGTTCTCTATCTTCAGGCCTTGGGAGGTATGGGGAATTTGTGGACGTTTCATAAAAGCAAGTTTTGATTCCACAAAGGAAGAAATTAAAATATTTTCAGACACAATAGTGACATAACAAACAAACAAAAATCAGGTTTTTCACATTGGTTTGTGCTGTCATTGCCAAGAGGAACTTTGACACAATTCCCCGTGTGCATCTGTGTTCCCGTATTTGAATGCAGAGGGATGAGGAGGAGAGGGGAGGGGAGAGGAAGAGAGACAGGTGAGGAAAGGGCAGGGGAGGGGAGGGGAGGGGAGAGGAAGAGAGGGGAGGGGAGGGGAGGGGAGGAGAGGGGAGGGGAGGGGAAGCCAGGTGGAAGGCAGGAGCCCAGAAAACCACCCAGATCTCCCAAGTGGGTGACAGGGGCCCAAGTACTTGGGGCATTTTCTGCTGCCTTTCCAGCTGCAGTAGCAGGGAGCAGGATTGGGAGTGGAGCAGCCGGGACACTAATGGCTGCTCACATGGGATGCTGGCACGGCAAGCAAAGGTTTAACCCGATGTGCCATGATGCTGGCCCCTGTGTTCCGGTCTTGACTGAGCCATTGGTCAAAGACTGAAGTGTGGGTTGAGCCACACCTTCCCTTCCTTCAAGAATGGAATGTTTGCGTTTTTGTATTAAGTAACAGTAATGAGCCGGTCTCTCTTTTGGCTGATGTTCACAGTGACATTAAGCGACTCTCATGAGACAGTGAGCTTGTGGTGACGAGCGTCGTCATGGCACAGTCACACATCGATGTATCATCAGAGAGAGGGAATAAATTTTATCTCTCATGACCTCTCCCCTAAACACTCTATATAGTGCCTCCCAAGAGGGAGGTATTAATATCTTGATTATAAACAGATTCAAGACTGCATTGATCCACATCATTGATTGAATAATGCTGCTGATTTTTTGTTTGTTTTAGTTACATTCCTGCATCAATGGCAAAATGCATCTAGGTTTTCAGAACCTAATGAAAATGGAAAATAAGTGTTTGTCCCATGATTCAGGACGTTTGGTAAGTTCTGTGAAGGGCCAAAGCTCCTTGCTCCCAGAGGGGGTCAGGCAGAGCTGAGAGGAGAGACCAATGCCCTGGAGAGCCCGTGCCCGCATGTCTGCAGCCAACACGAGACCGACAGGTACTTGAGGAGAGGCACAGGGTCCTGTCCCTGCGGGGCCCGCGGCGCCTGACTCAATGTCCAGCACCAGTGGTAGAGATCGGGGGCTCTCCTCACCTCCTTCCAGTTTCCGAAGCCCACGCCCTGTCTCTGTCTCCACGTTGGGAGGCTGTGGCAAGCACCGAGTGAGACAGCGCCACCCACCGGTCGGTGCAGGTAAGTTCTCAGAGATACCACTTGTCCCTTCTTCCTCGTGCTCTGTCTCCTCCAAAAGCCTTGGCCTACTGGGGTCCTTCCGTGGAAACTGAGCTTTGCAAACTGACTCCACAGACCCTTCTTGAGGGCACGCTCCGTCTGTGAGAAGACGCGTCTGTTGGCTTTTCTCTCTCCCCAGAGCGGAGGGCACGGCTCTCTGTAACCAGGGCCTGGATGTACCCCGAGCTGGAGCCGGCAGAGGCGTGGATGCTTGGGCTGCAGGGTCAGCGGCCACCCCAGGGCACCCCTCCTCTCTGCCTCCTCCCCTCGTGGGCATACGACACTGCCCCTTGATGAAGTCCAGGTCCTAGGTGTGGCGCCCAAGTGTTGGTCCTTCGGCGCTAGCTGCACTTGCAGCTTTAGTTGGGACTTAGGAAGAGAAGCGTGCCTTGGATTGCAGCAGTGAGAGGGTCCCTGTCTTTGTCACCTGCCCAGAATGTGGGAGGTGTTAGACTCATCCCACGAGAGGTAAGAAGAGCTTTCCCTTCCGAAGAAGCAATTCATCCACTTTCTCACGGCTGGGCTTTGGAAGCAGGAAGTTGGAATTTGAAGTCCAGTTCCGGGTTTTTCTGAGCCATCTTCTGTGCTGTTCCCTCTGCCATGAGCACCTCTGCTGGCAGAAATGGCCCCACTCAAAAGCTTCCTCACCATCGCGACATGCCACCTCCTTCCTGAGGCCGATGCATTGACCTTTTCAGAGGTAAAAAAAAATATATGCATATTAGTGGTTTTGCTCTCATTTAAATTCATCCAGGTAGAGATGAACCTTGTAAGCTGTGCTGCAGGTGAGGGTTACTTCCCCCAAGAACAGTAGGAGCCAGAGAAGCATTTAGTGCAGGGGATGATAAGCTCACACCGTGTGTTAGATCACTCAGGCAGGGTGGTGGAGAACAGACTCTACAAGGGAGAAACAGAGGCCATTAGCAACCCAGGAATTAATTGGGTTTCTGTCTGCTGGTACTCAGACCCATTCCTTTGTTTTCCTCTAATCTTTGCTCCCTATTTTCAGCAAGAAGCCAGGATACTCTCTCTCTCTCTCTCTCCCTCCCCCCATCTCTCCCTCTCCCCCTCCCTGTCTCTCTCTCCTCTCCCCTTCTCTCCTTCTTTCCCCCATCCTCCACTCCTTGCTAAATAAGCCTGCTTGGTTCATTGTTCAGCAGGAGAGCCCGGATTCTAGTAATTCTACCTGTTCTCTTTGCTTCTAAGGAAGGTCACAGCTTCCTGATGCTATGAATCTCTACCTTATCTCACCGGTTTGGTGGCTGTTATTTTTCTGTGGGCATTGACTGAGATAGCAGTCTTTGAAATTGTTCCTATGAAAGATGTGGAGCCCAGCTTAGGACTGGCCACAAGCCTGGAGAAGTAAAGAAGGTTTGGAGAGCTTCTTAATCAGAATCCTACCTAGAGTTTCAGTCCCTGTTCCCCTTGCCACCTGCTGTACTCCTTACCATGAGAACATGCTACTATTGGACTAGTGTTTACTAGGACTCAAATCTTGTTGGTCTTTTCATGCCCCTTGGAGCGTCACTCAGCCTGCAGAGAAAGATGGTGCCATGAAGATTTTATCACCAACTTTCATGTTCCTTTGGAATAAAACACACGAGGAGACAAAATTGAGAAGCAAGAAACAATTTCCCTTCTAGTCAGTGGACCAGGGAGGTTGGTCCCATTGTTTTGGCTTGGTTTCTTTTTTCTTTCTTTCTCTCTTTCTTTGTTTCTCTCTTTCTCTCTCTCTCTCTCTCTCCCTCTTTCTCTCTCTCTCTCTCTTTTTCTTTTTGTTGAAAGATTTTATTTTTATTTATTTGGGAGGTAGAGTTACAGAAAGAGAGAGGGAGAGACACAGAGTGTCGCTCCCCCTCTTCGTGGAGGAACGACACAGGACCCTGCGCTGTTCTTTTGTCTGCTCGGCCCTCCCCGGGTTTGCTGCTGGTTCTTCCCAGGTTGGCTACCGTCCCTTCCACCTCCGTGGAAGGGCGGTTCCCCCTGCCACTTTCCCCACTTCCGCAGGGGAGCGGCACACCGCCGGCCGGCTCTCTTGGGGGCTGCTCAGGTGTTCCTTCAGATAGATGTTCCTGGTGCATGTTGTCTCTCTTCTCCTTTATAGTCTTCTTCCGCCAATCCCAACTCTGCTACCCACACGCCGAGTACGCTGCTCTCCTCCAATCAGGAGCAGGTCCCACAGTTTATTGGTTGAACTGGAGGCAGCTGTGTAGAAGCTGTTTACTCCTCTCCCAGCGCCATATTGTGGGAGAGCAGATGCATAGAATAAGTCTTAATTCCAGTAACTTAGTCTAGTTCGAGTTGCTCCCCACAACAGAGAAAGGTCTTTCATTCACTGGTTCACTCCCCAAATGGCTGCAACGGCCAGAGCTGAACCATTTTGAAGCTAGGAGCCAAGAGTTTCTTCCAGGTCTCCGACACAGGTGCAGGGGCCCAAGCGCTTGGGCCATCTTCTACCACTTTCTCAGGCCATAGCAGAGAGCTGGATCGGAAGTGGAGCAACTGGGACTAGAACTGGCACCCATATAGGGTGCTGGCACCGCAGGCTGAGGATTAACCTACTGCACCACAGTGTGGGCCCCTGGCTTGGTTTCTAACTAGCTATGTGATCTTGGGTGAGTCTCTTTTCCTCCCACAAGGCTCACTTTCTCCAGCCTACAGATCATAATCCTAATGTACCTTCAAGTCCTCACCAAAATTCACCTTATTCTCTACTGTCCTTAGAGCCTGTTGGCAGATTCATCCCAATGACTTGGTGAGTTCTGGTAGGCCTCATTCCAGATCCCTGATATTAAAGCCTGCATAAATGTTAATAATCTCCTTTCTCTTTGAAAAGCTAGGAGAGTACAGATGGGTTTTCCAGGCCCCATCTGAGCTTTGCACCCAGCAAATCAAAAATTACACATTACATGTCCTTGGCACTCAGTGTCGACAGAAGCCTTAGTGACATTGCAGGGAATGTTAGTTTGCTCACCATCAACAGTTAGCTCCTCTGTTTTGACATGAACTGACTTGCCTCTCACCGTCTGTTTTCTAGGACCTGGAATGATACACATTTTTATTTCCATTTGCAGCCTAATCTGTTTCCAGAAATATGCACTCTAAACCTGGGAAGAAATGTCATCCCTTGGCTGGTTACCCTAAGATACCACAAACATCTTCTTTCTATTTCCTTTTTTTTTCTTTATTTTTAATTCTCACTCACTTCTGAGAGAGATCTTTATTTACATTTATTCCTCTCTCTGGGACAACGGGAAGTGTCTTTATGTCTGGGCTGGCACTAGGATCCACACTGGACACGGGGCCTTCTATTTCACTCAGCAATACCCATCTGGGACTTTCGTGGTGCCCTTGCTGCATAAATCTTAGGAAAGCTTTTGTTTAGATGTTGAGGGAAATTTACCAACTCATAAAATAAATGTGTATTTGGTGGCAGGCACTTTATTTATTTTTAGGTTTTGTAAGACTAAAAATATGTGACCCTTTCCCTTAAGAATCTCAAATCTGATGGGAGAAGCATAATTGAGAGCGAATCTTTATCACAATGACAGTCACAATGACATAGTAAATACCATAAATATGTATATGTATGTATATATATATATATATATATATGGAGGGAAAGAGAGAGAGAGGTGGGGGGAGAAGGATACACTTGTACACTACTCCTTAACATTGGTGAATTCTTGATGGAACTATTTCAGATGACTTATATATATATATATTCTTGAATATAGATGTATTGCTTTTAAATTTAGGCTATTATATTGATTTATAAATAGGACTAACCTCTGGGTATGCTGCAGGAATGTCAACTGCAAAGGCCAGGAGGCAGAATCATTGAGAACGTTGAAGCCACATGTATCAGAAGGTCCCTTGAGAATGAGCCCTGACCTTGACATCATCTGGGATCATCTAGATACGGGCATTCTACGTGCATCTGTTTGTATGTGAGGCTGAGGGCAGTTGTGGTGAAAGGCTCTCCTTGAAGGACTTGGGTTATTTGGTTGAGTGGGAAGGACTGACTGCGTACAGTCTTAAGCAAATGGAGACCATGGGACAGAGACTCATGTCATTGGTTTCACCTGCTCTGCCTAATTTGGAAGGTGGAGCTGTCATAACTGGTGGGTCATTAGAATAACTTTGAAGCAAGAGTACAGGGAAATTGCTCTGATCCAGCCTTTGGATTTCAGTTCCTCCTCTCCAAATCAGGATCACACATGCAGGCCAGCTGTCCACTTGCACGGTCCTGATGGAGGGTCTAAGTCAGAGGCAGGGGTGGGCTGACGGTGTTTGGCGCATTGGCTTAGAGGCTGCTTGGGACGTCTGCATAAAGGAGTGCTGGTTCGAGTTCCAGTCCCTCAGGTTCCACCCCAGCTCCCTGCTAACGTGCCTGGGAAGGCAGCAGAAGATGGCCCAAGTGCTCAGGCCCCTGCCGCCCATGTAGGAGACCAGAATGCAGTTCCTGGCTCTTGGGTTCAGTCTGGCTTAGCCCTGGATGTTGTGGTCATTTAGGGAGTGAACCAGTGGATAGAAGAGCTCTGTTTCTCTCTCTCTCTCTCTCACTTTCTTTCTCTCCTTTCTGTGTCTCCCCTTCTCTAACTCTGTTGTTCTGCTTTTCAGATAAATACATAACTAAACCTCAAAAAAAGAAAGAAAAAGGAAAGAAAGGAAGGAAGGAAGGAAGGAAGGAAGGAAGGAAGGAAGGAAAGAAGGAAAGAAGGAAAGAAGGAAAGAAGGAAAGAAGGAAAGAAGGAAAGAAGGAAAGAAAGAAAGAAAGAAAGAAAGAAAGAAAGAAAGAAAGAAAGAAAGAAAGAAAAGAGAGTCCCTAGGGCCGCTGGGTCTCTGCAAACCACCCTCACAGTTTGTGTTGAGTTCTCTCGGGCGTAGTGGGCAGGAGCCCTCCAGCCTCTTCCCGCGACGCCTAGATCCTTACACCACGCCCCCTTTTAATTGTTCCTGCTGAGGAGGAAGTCATTAAACTGAAAGAACCAGCAATGGTGCTTGTTCCACCAAAGAGAGTGGGGACTGGCACTGAGAACCCTCCTTCCGGTTCCTCCGTTGCAGCCTCCTGCTGCAGTGCTGGGCGGGGCCTATCCTCAGGGCCCTCTTCTTCCCTTTCCGGATTCCCTGCGCCTGAGGCTGGGTGGGTCAGTAGCCTGGCTGCTTGTTCACAGTGCACGTCTGTATCCCGCTCCACACAGCAGGGTCTAAATCTGCAAAGCTGAGCAACGGGTTTGGTGACCCCCAAAGCTCTCTTACACCAGGGTTTCCTGGTGTTTGGGGCTGGGTCATGTTTGCTGGGGGTGGGGGGGGGGCTCTATGTACATCACAGGCTGGTGCCAGCCTTCCTGGCCTCCACCCTCTCTACTTGTGACAATCAAAACTGTCTGCAGATATCACCAAATGCCCCCAGAGGGGCAAAACGGCCCCCACCGAGGACTGCCGCCCTCCATTTCTGGCTTTCAGCTCGCACTTTGCAGGACCGGACAGTTGCTTATGGTTTCTGGACACACGTGGGCCGGTCTCAGAAAGCCGCATCGCTGCTTGGTTCAGCTCTCTCTTCCTAACTCACAGCCATGTACGGAGGCCTGGCCCATGCACCCTAAGGGAAGCTTTTCCTCTTGGGTCCCTTGAGTTGGCCTCAGAGACTCCAAGCTGGCAGCAAGCCACCAGCAGGGGCGTCACCTGCTTCCTGGCCCCTGAGAACTCCTGGGGATGGTTGGTTTGGCTCGGAGCCCACAGAGGGGAGAGGCCGATGTGGAGGGAGCAGGGCAGCCATGAGAGAATGCAGGAATGGGCCCAGGAATGTCCGTAGCTTCATTGGAAACAGATGCCTGTGGAGGTGGCTGGCTGGGGCCCTGCCTGCCTCGGGCCAGTGTACTTGGCGGCTGCTCCTCCCCACATCCCCCTCCCTCCCCTCTCCTCCCCACCCCCACAAGCACCACCAGACCATTATTTAAGAGAAGGGCTCTGATTTAAGGTAAGCTGGAGGGTGGGGTGGGGGGTGATATAGGAATAAAACCTGCTCTCTTGGGAACATAAACGTACATGATATGATTATATACGCATCTGATCACAGATGGCTGAGATTAAAGAACATCGGGGAGTAAGGGCCCATTCAACATCCTCACATTAAAGAGGAGAAATCAAGACTGAAACCAGCAACAGCCCAGGAATCCAGGTCGGCTGATTCCTTAAGCTTTTGCCCATAACTTTGCTGCCACCAAGTTCCCTTTGAAGATGTAAACTCATTAAGATATAATTGATCACATCTGTCATTCCAAGCCTGTGCCTGTGGCAGACATCACTAATTGATCATGGAGCTCTTTCCTGCTGGGCCTTGATACTGCCTAACGATCTTTTATCCAATCAGCACTCCAGGTACGGAGTGCCAATCAATCAGAGATTATGTGTTTGCCATGTCTACCAGTGACTTGGCCTGTCAGTTTTTCTAGGGATATAAGAAAGCCAGGGCCGGTAGTGCCTTTGGTGAGAGTTAAGATGAGAAAAATCGGTGAGTATTTTGGAGCAGGATGCTACCTTATTCATTTGAAGCTCTTTCGAGAAAGGGACAGGGAGGTGCGTCGGGAGTATCCATGGTTACTGGACTTCTCAACCTTTCCTGTGTACACGAACTGCCTGGAGTGGGGGGGGGTCTTCCTCACAGGTGGCAGGGTGGGGGAGAGGCCAGAGCTGCCGCTGTGGCAAGCTCCAGCTGATGCACTGGTCTCTGGACCGTCCAGTTCATCGAGGATAAGCTGTTCACCAGCTGTTATGTTAACCACAGCAAAGCTGGTCCCAAGAAGGCGAGGGTGAGTCAGGGCTGCTTTCCTGGAAGTCTTACGAGCTGCATGGTGTGAGGGTCCCGCTCTCCCCATCTTTTCTCTTTTTTATTTATTATTTTATTTGAAAGAGTTATAGGGGGTGGGGGAGAGGGGAAGAGAGAGAAAGAGAGAGAGAGAGAGATTCTCCTTCCATTGGTTCACTCCCCAAATGGCCGCAACAGCCAGGCCGAAATCGGGAGTCAGGAGCTTCATCTGAGTCTCCCCATGATGTAGGGGCCCAAGCACTTAGGCAATCTTCAGTTACTTTCCCAGGCTCATTAGCAGGATGCTGGATCAGAAGTGGAGCAATGGGGGCTCTACCCATGCCTCTGTGAGGTGCCAGCATTGCAGGTGGCAGGTTAACCCTCTGTGCCATAGTGCAGGCCCCTTTCTGTTCCTCTTGTCCTCTGGGTCAGGCTTGTACCCAGCAACCCGTCTAATCCCAGGCATCTGAGAACTGAGGTCCACTCCACACCTGGCACATGCAGGCCCTGACCACGAGAAAACATTTTCACCTTTCTGATCCTTCTGGAACATTCTGAAAGATCCTGCTGGAGGCCACACCCACTCTGAGAGCCGAACCCTAACCAAGGACCATAGAATGGGTGGGTAGGCCCTTGAAAGGTCTAGCTCCTTGGAGCAAACCTCTCTGATTCCCCGAAACCCTGCCCTTGGAGGAAAAGCCCACAGCTACCTCAAGGCCTGTTGGGACTTCACAGGGACGCATGTGATCTTGTGTTTTATAAATGACCTCTGATTTGAGAGCAAGGTTTTAAATCCAGGCTGAGTCATTGAAAGAAAGGGTGAGGGGAAGGGGTTTCTGCTTTATTTTTCCTAAGTAATGGGGATATTTCGCTGCACTCTGGTGTAATTATATCATCAAATGGAAGACGCTTCTCGTAATTAGGAACGCAATTAGTCAAGCTCTTCTGCTCCCCGTGTCCTCAACGAGCACGCGGGCCTTGTGTCTGCCCTCTGCAGAGCGGGGCAATCTTTCAACAGGAAAACTTTCCTTCTCTTCTTTTTAATCAGCAGAGAAAGAGAAGGACAAGGTATGCAGGGGCTCAGCATGGCTGCTGCCTTGGTACCAGCTAGCAAGTGAGACCAGATCTGAGGCCAGATAGCGTTAGCCACACAGAAGATGACTTTGGCCAAGGTGGTGCAGCTGCTGTGTTAGCGGGAAAACTTCTGCTCACACGGTTCTTCTTGGCACAGAGGGAGATCGCAAACTCGCCTCCTCACGGAGACACGGGCAAGCCTTGGGGGCTCCAGCTGACCTTACAGCGCGTGGAAAGACGCTGCAAGCCCCGCCAGTAGACGCGACACAGATGAGGTCCCACAGGCTGGGTCTCCTCCAGGGGCGGGGTCTGCTTCCTCTTCCTGGGCACGCAGGTGAGCCCCTGGGCGCCGTGACTCGAGGAGTGGGAGTGGGGTTTTCGCAGACTGGGCCGGGCTGGGGAGTAAATGAACCCAAACACCATTCACAGAGCATTTGGCCGGGAGCTCACCGGAGCCCTTCGTACGCAGTAGCTGGCTGAATTCTCACAGCTTTCTGATAAAAGATGTATTACCACCATCGCAATCTATCAAGGAGAAAACGGACCCCCGTGAAGACATGTGGCTCGTAACTTTTGGACCCAGAATCTAAACTGAAATCTCATTGGCTCCCAAGTCCATCATGGAACTGTCATCCCAGGGCACCAGAGTGACGAGCCATCATTTTCCAGGCTCAGCTGTCACCCATGGGGCCCCGGGGACTCCAGTCTCCCCTGAGCTCACCTCTCTGCTGCTCCATGACTCACGGACACTCTCGGATACCGCTGTCTTCACAGAGCGCCCTCCTCCTCTCTCACTTCCCTGTTTGACTTCCTGGATCTCCAGGCTAAAGGGCTTGGGGGGCGGGGATTGAGAAGCAGGGGCCTGTGAGAAACCTTGTGGTCAGATGTAAGTGGTTGGAATCTGAGCTCTACTTAACCTGAGACATTCTTGACCTTCCTCATCCTCAGTTTTTCAGTCTATCAAATGGGAATAAATATATGAATGGACAGCTTGATGGATGGATGGATGAAAGAGTGAAAGGAGGGACTGATTAAAAAATGAAATCACTAAATTGAAGGTGACAGGTGGCAGGGTAACGCTGACTGGAATTCACATGCATGAATGGGTCAGCGTGATATTTGCTTTGAAGAGATAAGATGCTCTCTCTCACTCAGGATGAGAGGGCCCACAAGTGCAAGGTAGGAGGGAAGTGAGGTCAAGACCAAGTCAGTTCTGTCTTAGGTCAACAGTTACCGGATTTGTGCTAAGAATCATCAGTTAGATGTTTCATAAAACAGTGTTCTATGGTGAATTGGGGAAATTTAACCTGCTCTTGAAGATTTACATCTATAAGAATATGTTGATGCCTTTGATGTCTTATAGATTTTATAATAATAAAAAATAAGTACTTAAAATTCAGTGATTTTGAAAACCTTTGCTCCCAGGAGGAAGCCCAGGCTGCGGTATGGGCACTTTGCACAGCATGGCCGAGGAGGCACAGCACTCTCAAACCTGTGTCCCTTTGCATGGGTTGGTGGTCACCAAGAATCCACAGTGGTGTGGGTGCATTCTCCCGGGTGGTCATAGGATGGAATTAGGATTGGGTAAGCTCTCCATTTCACAGATGAGTGGGTGGGGCTCAGACAGGCCGAATGCATGGTCTGAGTTCACACAGCTGGAGACAGGCAAGTTGGACTCCAGGCTAGATCACGCCATGCCAAGTTGGTTCTTTCAGAACCGTGTTTTCTCCTGCTGGGTAGCTGTAGAGGCCTCTGGCGTCTGCTTGGCTGTGTCTCATGGCCAGACCTCTTGAGCTAGGCCTGGGCAGCCGCAGGCACTTCGCTTTGTGTGTGTGGCAGTACTGAGTGCACTTCATCGCCTGCGAAGCCCCTCTCCAGCAAAGGACAATGCAGCCAGAGAGAAGGCTCGCGCCAACGAAGGCAGTGATGCCACTCCCGGTGGAGCACTTTGCAGGTTTAGGAGTCCTTTCACACATGGTGTCCCTTTTGATTGTCACAGCTGCCTGTGCACAAGCAGGCCTGGCGATCTTTTGTTCTCATCTGACCAGGAAGAGAGCTGACGTTCAGAGAGGTTAAGACGAAGCGAAAACTCACGCAGTGTTTTCCAAAGCAAGCCAGCCACTCAACTTCACCTCCTCCTTCCTGACTATTTCCAACACCTGGCTTGGTGTCCCTTCTAGTGCACGGTGGAAACAAGTCTTCCTTGGTGCCTCACTGGCTTCCTGCCTTTAAAATGAAAATTTCAAAATAGAGAAATACTCGGAGACAAGAGAACAAACACCTGTAATCCTGTCATCCACAGATAACCACTGTGTGTTTGCTTCTTGTAATTGTTTTATGCATATTTGCCTATTATTAAATTTTCTCCAGAGCATAATTTTAAATGTCTGCAAAGAATTGCGTTTTATCTTTCTTTACATCACCCATCTTTTGTTGTTGGACATTTAGGATGCTTTCATATTTTCTGTAATTTAAATAATAAGATAAGCATCATCACACATAAATCTTTGTGTACTTTCAAAAATATCATCCTTGATAAATTTCTATAGTGAAATTTTGGAGTCAAGAGGTTTCCACATATTTAAGACTTCTAATAGATATGCTAAATTGCTAGCTAGGAAAGTTTTACCAATCTTAAACCCTTGTGAGCTGCTGCTTTTTGACCTTTAAAAATTTTACATGCATTGTTTTTTTAATTTTTTAATTTTTATTTATTTATTTATTTTTTGACAGGCAGAGTGGACAGTGAGAGAGAGAGACAGAGAGAAAGGTCTTCCTTTTGCCGTTGGTTCACCCTCCAATGACCGCCGCGGCCGCCGTGCTGCGGCCGGCGCACCTCGCTGATCCGATGGCAGGAGCCAGGTACTTCACCTGGTCTCCCATGGGGTGCAGGGCCCAAGTACTTGGGCCATCCTCCACTGCACTCCCTGGCCACAGCAGAGAGCTGGCCTGGAAGAGGGGCAACCAGGACCGAATCCGGCGCCCCGACCAGGACTAGAACCCAGTGTGCTGGCGCCGCACGGTGGAGGATTAGCCTAGTGAGCCGCGGCACCGGCACATGCATTGTTTTAATTGTCCCTTTTTTAATTATCAGCTTGGGGATTTTATTTTTTTTAATATTCATTTTTGGTGGGTCATTCCTGCATCTTACTCATTTCTTGATCATGTCCTTTACCCATGATTATTGTTGCTGCTATTATTCTAGTTAGGCTTTATTTTTGAAAATTTGTTTCTTAGAAACTTTTATACTTTAGGAAAACCAATAGTTACATTGCAAATAATGTTTTCTCTTAGGCTGAAATCATAATGAGTTGACCACCGTGAGTCAGGTTGCTGTGGTTTGAATGTGATTGGACCCCTGAACTCACACAGGACTTTAAGCCCCAAAGTCATAAGTGAATGGTGCTGAGGGGGTAGAGACTTAATCCGATTGGGAAGGGATTATATTGGGTGAGATCATTAGGGCAGAACTCCTTGATTAACCCTGGTGGCATTGTAAGGGGCCATATAGACACGGACAGAAACACCCTGTGTCTCGGCACAGGATGTTTTGTGCCACTCAAGACCCTGCTGGCAGGAAAGCCCTCCGCAGGGATCAGACCAATGAAGCCTGCTCAGCCTTGGCTGGTGCGTCTCTAGAATCAGCCTCTTCCCTCCTGAATGGCCTGCGGCATGCATTTCATTGCAGTAAAGAGAAGCTAACAAATACTCACGTTTTTAATCGATGGATGATGGGGGTAGGTATAGGAAGGGTGATTTCGTACCAGTGTTGAAAAGAAATTTCCATTAGTGCATTAAAGTTAGCACATATGTGGGCTTGAGAGCTGTCCCAGAGGACTAGCATTTCAGGGCCAAGTATTGTGAATTGGTTCCGGAGTGGCCAGGGTGAATTCTCTGATTGGATGAAAGTCCAATAATGCTTATGACCCTGTTTCCAGTGGTGAAGAGAGCACAGCTCTCAATGCCAAATATGTGCTAGTTTGGGTTCCCCTGAGAAACAGAACCAACAGGAAATGTCTGTGTATCCAAAAGGAACTGGGAGGAGGAGGAGGAAGAGAAGGGGGAGGAAGAGGAGGAGGAGGGAGAGAAGGAGGAGGAGAAGGAAGAGGAGGAGGAGGGAGAGAAGGGGGAGGACGAAGAGGAGGAGGGAGAGAAGGAGGAGGAGGAGGAGAAGGAAAAGGAGGAGGAAGAGGAGGAGGAGGGAGAGAAGGAGGAGGAGGAGGGGAAGGAAGAGGAGGAGGAGGGAGAGAAGGAGGAGGAGGAGAAGGAAGAGGAGGAGGAGGGAGAGAAGGAGGAGGAGGAGAAGGAAGAGGAGGAGGAGGAGGAGGAGGAGGAGGAGGGAGATCTCTTAAACAGACATGATTATAGGCAGCTGACTGTGCAGGCTGAGAGCCCAAGTTCTGCAGGGAGCAAGCCAGAGACTCAGGGGAGGCAGAGGTGCTGTTCAGCTGGAGTCCAAGTCCAAAGCAGGGAAGAGCAGAGCTCCAGCTCCGAGACAGCTGAGCAGACTGGCTTCTCCCTTACTCAGCCTTGGCTGTGTTCAGTCTTTCAGGGGATTGCATGAGGCCGCTTGCCTTGGGAGGACAACGCGCCTACTCAGGCTACTTATCCCCATGCATTTCATCCAGAAACATCCACCATGATGGTCACCGAATAAAATTAACCACTGCACAGGTCACCGCCTGCTGCTTTTTTTTTAACCTCAGCTACCTTTTTTTTTTTTTTAAAGATTTATTTTATTTATTTGAAAGGCAGAGTTACAGAGAGAGGAGGAGGGAGAGAGAGGTCTTCCATTTGCTGGTTCACTCCCCAGTTGGCTGCAACGGCCGGAGCTGCACCAATCCGAAGCCAGTAGCCAAGAACTTCCTCTGGGTCTCCCACATGGGTGCAGGGGCCCAAGCACTTGGGCCATCTTCCACTGCTTTCCCAGGCCATAGCAGAGAGCTGGATCAGAAGTGGAGCAGCCAGGACTCAAAGTGACGCCCATATGGATGCTGGTGCTGCAGGCGGCGGCTTTACCTGCTGTGCCACAGTGCCTGCCCCCTCCCAGACGATTTTAAAGGCACTGTCTCAAAGTCAGACATGGAAGTCTGGAAGTCAGACATGGCATAACCTCTGGGACAGTACACTCTCCAGGATTTCATATTCCCGCTATTTCCTCTCTCTTGTTCTCTTTCTTGCTTTCTCTCATTTCTATTTCATTTTATTTATTTATTTTTAAACTGCTGAGTCTGACAAATTAGGGCTATTAAGGGACTGTTTGTTATTCTGTCCTGGGTTACTATTTTAAGGGCTAAAACACTCATAAATATATGGATGCTCCGACTGTAAATGGATACGTTTTAGCCAGTGAAAAATTCATTTCCCCTAATATACGTTTTTAAAGTGTCCTGCTGAAATTCCGCACAATATCTCACCATGATCTTTCACTGTTTCTCCCATTTTTATCCGATAAAAGCAGATCCATCATCGACGTGGTGCCTTTCCTCTGCGCCATAAATAACAGCCGGGAAGGGAGCAGCTCCCAGAGCACACTGGCATCAGGTTTTAACCAATTTTGGAATTTATTGTTAAGCGTCTTTGGGCCGGGAGCCAGGAGTGTCTGCTTGCCCATCAGTTATCTCATGGCTTTCCTGTTTTGGACAAAGGCGCTCCAGATCTAAGCAGAGAGAAACTCGCATCTGATTTTAGCCCTGCTGGCTGGCTGAAGACGGGCTATGAGGGGCTCTTAGGCTGGGACGTTCCGGCTTCTCTGTGTTGACCCCAGTTTATGTCGGGACCCTGAGAGCAACCTCATTTGCGCTCAGAAGGGCCCTGCTTTGAATAACAGACAACGTGGTCACCTTAGACATGCACTGAGGAACACAGCACTCCCCCACGCCTCTTGCTTGTTCCATTTCCCTGTCAGAGCCTCATTCTGTGTGCTGCAACCTCCTTCCCCATCCATCAGCAGTCAGGAGACTTGCAACTGGAGGCAGCGTTTCTAGCCTGGAAGAAAAGAAAACAAGGAAGAAGAAAACAGGATTTTACCTCTTCTCCTGTGCAAGGTCCGATGAGAAAGTGTTTAAAAAAATCACACACCCACTCAAAGGACAATCCCATGAAGTATCATGATTCACTGATTTCAAGAATTTTTATTCTTTTTTTATTCCTTAGTATCTCATCGAGATACTTAATGATATTTTACTTTTAAAATTCTATTTACTTATGTTTATTCAAAAGATACAGACATGCGTGCATATGCGTGCATGCACACACAGACACACACAGACACACACAGGGTGCTTCTATCCAGTGGTTAACTCTCCAGATGCCTGTGATGGACGGGGCTGAAGCTGAGAGCTGGCTCTCAATGCAGATCTCCGTGGTGGCAGGAACTTACGCTCCCGAGCCATCACAACCGCTTCACTGAGGCTGGGTCTGCGTTAACAGGAAGCTCGAGTTAGGGATAGACTTCAGGTACTCTGAGGTGAGAAGCGGGCATCTTGACCGCTAGCTTCAACTCCTACTTCTAATATTATTTTATTATTGTATTTGGCCATGCAGCGTTTTGATGCACCTGTTATTGTCTTTGCGTAAAATTACATCAAAACTCACAGAATGGGTATCACAAGCTTGGAAGAAAATCTCAGAGACAAGATCTGCATATTTTGTAGTTCCTAGGACTCAGGAATTATGGAGGAGTGGGGTAGATGTGGTGCATCAGAGGTATTTAGCTATATTCTGGAACAGAGCATCCCCGGGAGGCCAGCACTACGTAATTGTGAAGCCAGGTCAAGCATTCAGCAAACATGACTTTTGGTTCTTTTAAGGATGCTTTTTTAAAGAAATGCTGCATCACCAATAATTACGATGGCATAGAGGGTAGCGTAGTTTGGAAAAATATCTGATGATTTTGAATTAAAATGTGACTAAATATAAGGAAGGTTCAGGAGTATGTCAATCAATTGAATTCACTTATAATTTTGACTTTCAAATGGGCTCAACAGTGACATGTCATAACATCTATGCCAATTAAATCTAAAGTAGCTTTTAAAATAACTATAAGGGGCCAGTGCTGTGCCTGCAGTGCCAGAATCCCATACGGGTGCTGGTTTGAGTCTCGGCTGTTCCACTTCAAATCCAGCTCTTTGCTATGGCCTGGGAAAGCAGTGGAAGACGGCCCAGTCCTTGGGCCCCTGCTCCCGTGTGGGAGACCTAGAAGCAGCTCCTCGCTCCTGGCTTCAGATCAGCACAGCTCTAGCCTTTGCGGCCAATTGGGGAGTGAACCAGCAGATGGAAGACCTCTCTCTCTCTCTCTCTTTGCCTTTCCTTCTGTCTGTGTATAACTCTGCCTTTCAAATAAATAAATAAATCTTTTAAAAATAAATAAATGCATAAATATATCTTTAAAAAATAAAATAACTA